TGTTGGAAAGATGAAATTTTTTTGGTCAAGACTCTAAAATAATAGTTAAGACAGTGTCTGTCCAGTATCAGCCTTAGGGCTATTTTACTTCAAATCTTCATACTGCTGAAATAATTGAATTATTTTTCTGTTGTTCAAGCTTTTCTTGTTTTGGCAAATTCTTTCCATGGTAACCTGCTTCAGAATAAAATTGCTCTGAAACTATTACATCTTTGAAAGGCATTCCAAGGCATATCTACTCTTCCTTTTCCTGAAAGGCTTCTTACAAAAATATCTCATCTAACACTTTCTGCTAATGTCACACACTAGCAGGAAATTACACCACTTACTGGAGATTAGGCCTTATTTTGCAGCAGCAGGAGGAAATCTAAAGAACCACCCATTCAAACAGAGAAAGATTATTATATCAAACTTTTAGATATAGAACTGAAAAAAAAATAGGATCACATAAGTTAATCCCCAGAAACAGCTTATTTCATTGAATTTGCTGGGACCTATCCTCTGATTAATATTAATCTTTAGGAAGACTGAAACCCCTACGTGAAACACAGTCCTCTAGAAGGACTCCTGAGGACTGAGCTCTATTCAGCTGCACATTTCTTTGGTAGCTGACCCAAGGTCTCCTGCTCCCCAGATGCTCACAAGATGTGAGGGACAAAGTGGCTACCAGGCGGTAAGAAAAGGAACTGTGCTACCAAGACAAAAAACTCACAGTTAAACAGAACTGCTCTGTTCTTGCAAGAATGAAGAAAATATGTTCCTTTTTACATCTGTTTAACCCTCTACAAAAAACACTGTGCCAATTTCTTATTTTACAGACAGCAACTATCTTCACCAGGCCAGCAAACATCTTTCTTTAGTCAAGTACATTTCTTGTATTTTAACAACAACATACATTTTCATGGTGTATTCTGCTCTAATGTTATCGATGTACAAAAAGATTAAAATTCCTAAAAGAAATTTTAAATTTCTTAAATGAAAATATTCAAAACTAGTAAGCATTTTCTATTTTTCAGTAACTTAACTATTATTTGTAGAAAACAGGTAGAATCATAGAATTTTAGAATGGTTTGGGTTGGAAGGGGCCTTAAAGATCATCTAGTTCCAACCCCCTTGCCACAGGCAGGGACACCTTCCCCTAGATCAGGTTGCTCAAAGCCCCATCCAACCTGGCCTTGAATATCTCCAGGGATGAGGCATCCACAACTCCTCTGATCTCCACATCAACCTGTTTCAGTGCCTCGCCACCCTCATTGTAAAAAATTTCTTCTTTAGATCTAATAGAAATCTGCCCTCTTTCAGGTTAAAGCCATTACCTCTTATCCATTTCACACATCCTTGTGAAAAGTTCCCCTCCAGCTTTCTTGAAGGCCCCCTTTAGGTACTGGAAGGCTGCTAGAAGATTTCCCCAGAACCTTCTCTTCTCCAGGTTGAAAAACCCCAACTCTCAGCCCATCTTCATAGGAGAGGTGATCTAGCTCTCGGATTGTCTTCATGGCCTTCCTCTGGATCTGCTCCAAAACCACCATGTCTTTCTTGTGTTAGAGACCCCAGGGCTAAATGCAGTACTCGGGTGGGGTCTCATGCGAGCAGAGTAGAGGGGCAGAATCGTACACATACACATGTCTGTACATATAGAATATATACATACATATGTGTATATATACACACACACACACGCCTGGCTCGCTTAACCTACCCCCAGCTAGTCCAGCTTGGTATTTGCTAGAGATAGACACTGACACACTCGCCTACTCCAGCCGCCAGCACCCCGGGCACACTGGCCCCTGTGACCCACCCTGACTCCAGTGGTGGCACTTAGACCTCCATAACACACAGACACAGACAGAACAGAGAGCACCTCACCCAGGGAAACAGAAATAGAGTTTAATGAGAAGACAGGACACATCATGCTGATCAAGTCACACCAATCAGCCTGTTTATATGCAGCCAGTCTGTTCTAATCCCTTATCTCTCAGTTTTCCCATATCTATTTCTCCCCAAAACACCTTGGTCCCCACCTCTCCCCACCTTCGGTTCCTCCTCTAAACATCCCATAAGTCTTGCACAATTCCAAAACGTTCCTTCCACCATCCCATAATATGTCCCAAATGCTGGCAGGCAGCAATCCCCCATCAGTCTGCAGAGTGGTCCAGAATGACCCTGACTCCTGGTACTGGGCGTCCCCATCCTGGCCCATGGGGCTGAGGCTGGGGACAGCCCTGGGAGGAGCTGGCTTGGGGCTCCATTTCCCAGACTGGGTTATTGAGGTTCTTGTCGCTGCGCCTCTGGGCTCCTTTGCACGCGTGTGTAGAGATGAACCTTTTATCACACAACTTAACATAATCTAATCCTGTTTCCCTTCCCCTCCCCCCCATCCCTCTTTGAAAACATCCTGTTTCTCTCTTTTTTCTTTTTCTCCCCCACTCCCTTTCTTTTTTTTTTTTAACAGGGACACAAATACTAGATTTGCATTCTTTTACATTATAAGTGAATAATGTACTGATGATTTCCACACCCAATGCCTCATTATTTTGGAAGTGACATCTCAGCCTTGGGCCCTCCTCCAAGGCTTCTCAAACTGTGCTCCAACCATATGCCTTAAGCAAAAGCAGTTTAGTGCCCTCTCTGCTGAACATGACGGTTTTGCAAGCTTTTATACAGAATATAATCAATATGAAGTATTAACTGTACCTGTATTAAATTTATCCTACCATCTGTTGCTCACTTCAGAATACCCATTGAGATCACATCTGAAACACCAGTACAAAGGGCAAAGCCGTATCATGTAGAGTTTTAACTACATCACTTCATCCTGTTCTTAGTTTTACGTGTTTGAGAAATGAGAGTAAATGAGTACTTAATGCAATAATGTGCCTCTTTAAAATAGTCTGTATTTGACACAGAACAAATATGCTTTCCAAAAAGCTGCTTTTAATCTCTCATATATGAAAAGAAAACTGTTCAATATAGTTGTCTCCTATAGTTTATGAGTGAAAGCCATCATTTCCAATCGCGCTCTTTTCCTTGAAGTGCACGTTACCATGAAGTGTTTGTGATAGCTTTTAAACTAACCTATGTGCTATACACCTTATATCTAAGCTAAAGAGACCTCCCAGCAAGGATGGAATATCAATATGGAAACTAACCACCTAATCCAACTGAGCACACTTCACTGAAGTCTTATTACTTCCATGTGTAAGAGGAAACTAAAGCCAACTGCAATCCCTAATTTTTGGCATTCTCAGTATGCACTGTATCCAGCAAAAGTGAATTTCACTTTTCATCTTTGCCTTTACTGAACAGTGATATTACACATACGGACTTAACCTGATCATTTAGAGATCAAGTGTTTTAACTGAATAAAAAAAGCAAGGTCTTTATGGCTAAAGCTATACTGTTCTTTAAAAAGTTGTAATGCTTTGTAAATATTATTCTAATCTATTTTGAAGTATGAATGTTCTTAAAAATAACTGGTATCAAAATTTTAGTACAGATCTTCAAGAATAGATACAAAGAGTAATAACAATATGGTTATAACATGGACTCAAGTCAACTAATTTATATGAAAGAAATTTGTCATGGATAAATTTAATGCCAAAGAGTTTTATTAAAATTTATTCTGAGGTAGCATATGTGATAAATTAACCAGTATTTCTCAAGATACAAATCCTAGTTTCCTAAAAAATATAAAAATAAAATTAAGAGCTACTATCATGAAACAAATATTTGCTTTCAATATTGACAGAAATAAATAGCTCAATATATTTAAGCATTTTAAACTTTGTTTTCTAAGTAAGTGATATTTGTCAAGATATATCTCTGATATAATAAACAACTCCCAGATGGATTAATCAAGTAAGTACCTTTCTTAGTGGAAGTTTGAGGAGATTAAAAACTCATTTTGCAGTTTCAGCAACATATTGAGCATCTCATGCTCTTCCAATAATATTTACTGATAAGCTTTTTTTCTTTTCAACTCACTTTTCTCTTTGACACATACGCTTTCCTTTGTTATGCCAGCAAATTATGAGATTGCATGCCTTAGAATAGTTTTCTCCTCAAGTGTTACACACTAACAGAAGATGCTAAAAAACAGGCTCTTTCAGCTAAATTTATTTCAGATTTTTGTAGAAATTTAAGAAAAATCATCACTTTCAACACTCACAGTTGGCAGTACCTCATGACTTTACCAGATCTATTTTAATCAAAGAGGCTACCTATGAAAGAAGGGAGGTCAAATACTAATTACTTGGAAGGATGATAAATATTTGGTTCTTAATTGACACAAAATTTTGGTAGAAAAAAAATGAATGACCTTCACATACTTATATTAAAATGAATATAATTACTTTTTAAAAGAAATTGTGTCACAAAGATCAAGTATAGTTTTCTGGCTTCGCATATTTAATTCAAAATTACATTCCCAGAACAACTAACTCTGTTCTTTCCTAATAAAAGGCTAATTCCCCAGCTTTAATTACTGCCTGTATGGCTCATACTTTGTGAATTTTAGAATTCCATTTCTCTCGAGTCCTATAATTTCACTACTCTAAGAACAGAATAATCAGAAAATAGTAATCAGACAGTGATGGACACAATTAGTTTAGATGTTTCTATAAACCAGTATCACTGATGTGCATAGGTGTCATGGTTTAACCCCAGGGGGCAAATAAGCCCCACACAGCCACTCGCTCACTCCCCCCGGTGGGATGGGGGAGAAAATCGGAAGAATGAAAGCGAGAAAACTCACGGGTTGAGACAAAAACAGTTTAATAGCTAAAGGAAAAGCTGCGCAGTGCCTAGTAGGTACATGGTTTCTCAGCTGTTCGGATAAAGTAACGCAAGCATTCACAAAACTGAAATTTAATAAAAATGCAAAAGAGAATAACTTTCAAAAATATATTAAAAACTCAACTTTTAATATAGTAATAAATATTCTTTCTAGAGGTAAACATACTCAGATATGCAGAACAGTTAAACGCAAATAACCTGCGTACCTGAACTGTGGAACTGATTTCAGACGCAAATCCTCCTGTCAAGGGAGCCTCGTGGCTAATCAGCAATCGCCCAGTCTTCACCACCGACTGAAAAAGAAAAAAAACACTCAAAAACGTAAACAAATTACACCTCTTGTGATTTCTTACTCGTAGTACTTCTGGAATATATAAAATATGTGACATCATTAGCAGTGTTAAAATGTAGCTACTTTTCATCTCTTGCATTTTCACAGAAAGATAAATCATCCTAAAAGTCTAAACTGAGTAATTAATAGGATGTTTTTACATTTACTATAGAAGTCTTCATATCATCTCCTCCATTTTAAGGAAATATCAAGAATGAAAAATGATTCCACTGAATATGAATTTACCCTATTAATGCAAACTGTAACATTTCTGAAGAAGAAAAAGGATTTTAACAAGGAATCAGTAAAAACTTGGATCCTGAAAATACTAAAACACACACATGTAATGAAATCCTCCACGGATACATATCTCTGCACAACCAGATCCTAGGTAAAGTCATGAATCATAGCTATTCAGAAAGCAAAACTGCTTAGCAAGAAAACAATCATATGGATTAATGCTGCTTATTTAAGTTTTACATGGCAATTATGAGCAACATTTTCTAATTTTAAATCAAAATGTTTGTGCAGTTTCTATGTGATCTACTTTACAAATAATTACATAGCACAATATATACAGAAGGTGATGCAGCATCTTTTAATCAAAAAACGAACTGGGGTTCATTGTGAAACATCATAATGAAAGCAAAATATTTTTAATCTGATGGGAGTACAAAGCTTCACCACACCCACATATCTTGAAGTTTATTGCAACTACATGCTAAATAGCCTAGAATCAAACAATATCAGATACCTTTGGTCAGAAATATGGCAGCAAAGTCTCACTCTATATAATACACATTTTATAATTTCATAAGGCGCAAAAAAATTGCCGTGAACTTCTGGAGATGCACGTCAGAAAAAAAGAATCAGAATAATTATGTATGTTAATCTTTCAAGAACAGTTACAGTCTGATTTTTAAGATAAGTACACAGTGTACTCCTGGTGCACCATTAGTCATCAAGTGGAAAAGCACAAGACAGTGTTATCAGGTCAGACTTTAATGCTGTGATCTTCGATTTAATGCCTACACCAGCACATTCTCCAGTTGGGCAGCTCCATGGTGTCTACTTAATAGAAAACATAAAGACAATGCCCTAATTACATATTTTTCCTTCTGATTCAAGTACTTTTCTAATTCTTTTGCTTTTCTAGCAATGACTAAATCAATGGCTCTAAGTAGCTCATGCACAGATGTACTGGCAAGCCACAGGCCTATAAACAAGATGACCCACATACTGTACTATGAAGTGGTTTGACAACATTCAGAGCTAAACAAGACAGGAAAAGGCATGTCAACAGTTGGAAAGCAATCCACAGTTACGTAGGCTGATTTCTTGAAATTCTTTTGCCAGCACTGGAAACTCATATCTAAAAAGCAAAGGCACTAACTGCACTATAAATCTGTCCAATACATCAAACCGACAGTTCAACGAACAAAACGTATACTCCAGTTTTAATTTGATATGATAAAACTGATACAATCAGTATTAAGTTGCTATGGTAAAACTGATAAAATTAATCCACTTTGAAGGGTTTTTTTGAGAATTCTCGTAGTTTTATTTTAAACAGAGATTTTTTTTGCTTATATTTGTTCTGAGATGTTCACACTTTGAAACATTACAAGCTATCATTAAAGTTACAGATTTGGTTTTTCAGAACTTAATAGTATGAAACAGACACTGTTAGAACACATATAAGAAAATCCACATGGGATCAGACCAGTAGTCCAGTATCCTGTCTCCACAATGGAGATAATTCAATGTTTAGGAAAGTATAAGAGTAGGGCCTTTAATGTGTTCGTTCACTATCTTTCAGCCTCTGACTATTTTCACATAGAATCGTAGAATGGTTTGGGTTGGAAGGGATGTCATGGGTAGGGACACCTTCCACTACATCAGGTTGCTCAAAGACCCGTTCAACCTAGCCTTGAACACCTCCAGGGATGGGGCATCCACAGCTCCTCTCCGGCAACCTGTTCCAGTGTTTCACCACCCTCATCACAGGTTTCCTGAGTCCAATATGGTTTCTTGCTCTAAGATAACTTTTAATGCAAGAATTTATCTGCTCTCAAATTGAACTCATGTAAACCACAAAAAAAAAAAAAAAGGGAAAAAAAGAAAAAAAATCTCATTTTGGAAACCTGCTTCTCCTATATGAGAAAGCCTTATATTTACCTATGATTCCCAAAGGCTTCAAGGATTTCTTGCCTCTAGGAGCTTGTTAAGAGGTAGAAAGAAGCTGTGATCACCAAGCATTGCCTACAAGTATCTCAGCCCTGCCAACAAGCACTATATATCACTCCTGGTGGGAAACCATGCTAGCAGAGCTTTGGTGCCTTTAATAGCCATCCTAGCTTCTTAAGGATCAGCGTGGATAACTGCACCACATTCTGCCATGTAGAAATACCTTAAAAATTCTCTTAATGGTTAAATTAGAACTAAAATGAGCAGAAATTAACCACTATACTGCACTGCAAATAGAGTCTTTGACAATAAGGAAGGATGTGAGTATTGCGATTCCTGAATATTACAAGGCCCCTCTGCATCAATTTCCACTTCACATTTAACACTTGTTCCTAAGCTACAGTGAGTCTTTCAGAAAGACCTGCAATCTTAATTATGGTATTTCCAGTGTTTGCAAATGCATCACAGCTATTGGTAAATTGTTCCAGATTTTAACTGCCTTCCCTGTTAAAATTTTGCACCTTGTTTCCTAACTAATTTGGCTGACTTCAACTTCAAGCTGTTAGTTCTTATTTTACTTCTGTCTGCTAGATGGAATAGCTATCTATTATCACATTTCTGCTCCTCACATGATTATGTTAAGATTGTGATCAAATGATCTCTTAAGCACGCTTTTGCTAAACTAAGTAGACTAAGGAGCTCTAAATCTTTCACTGTACAGCACACTTACAATTCCTTCATCATTCTTACAATCCTACCCTGAATCATCTCCAGTTTTCAATGTCCTTCTTGAAGTACATCCATCTGGAACCAGCATTCCAGCCTTTTTCAGAACAACGCCAAATATGGAGATAATATAACCTCGATACTGCAGATCTTGGATGTATGAGGCATTTTGGCCAAAGCATAACAACATGCGACCAGTTTCAACTCATGACTGCAATTCCCTGCTCTTGGGAAAGAGGGATTTGTCAGTGCTTCTTGGAATAAAGATGGAAATACAGTGTGCATTTATTATTTCAAAATACAAAAGTATATTTGGATATTCTATTTTTCTAGCTGTTTGTTACCTCTAACTTTTCAGTAATGAGTTTAAATGTTCTCCATATCTTTGACAGAAATGTTAAAAAACAGGTTAAAAATCAGACTCTGCAGAACCTCAGTGACTTTACTATTTCCATTCACTAGCACTGCCTTTACATGACATACAGTTGCAGTCAAGGCAGCACTAATGCCTTACTTCTCAACTATGTTAATTTGTTTTGTGAGCATCTAATTATGAATTGTTGATCGTATATTTCTAAGTTACTTCTCCCTGCTTGCTTCTTCCTTGCTAATTTTTTTTTCATAGTTCCATAGATTATTTCTTCTAACAGATCTGGGACATGGTTTGGGGGGATGCTTTTTGTTTGTTGTTGTTGTTTTTTTTTGTGGAAAAACCACTCTGTAAGGTATCAGATTAATAAATTACTGGTAGAAAGATACATTGGTTCATTAAACAAATTTGGTCTCCATACACCCTCTTCAAGTTTAATTATTATATTGTTTTTTCTATCTTACAGGTGACAGTACTATACAGTAATAACAGCAGCAAATAGCAACTGTTACGATTTTCTTAAACAAACTTTTTAATGTAAAAATGTTTCAGACGATATAGCTTAGAAGAAAGTCATAGCCCATGATGAAAAAGTTCAACCTTTTCCTACACTGGTAGTGATTTAGAACGGCTAACTTTTTCTATATCTTCATATGGAAATCTAATCTTATTTCCTGGAAGAAAAACGGTTAATCGGTAAAAACGGAAAATTTCAAAACTACAATCTATAGGGCACAATCTATAGGGCACAGTGGACATGGTTAATGACTATTTTCAGATATCAATATGTTTCTATAAAAGATTAACTTCATTTTTGAAATGTACTATAACACATTAGTCTATGGCAAATCAAATGAGGCAAGCATTCAACCTCCAGGATAACCAAAGCCCAGCATTCAGAAGAGCATTTACAGTCCAAATAAATGCAGCATGGTAACACCCAGTAATGGGGTCCTCACCTTTTAAACTTTATGAGAAATACCACCGGCATAAAACTGGAGAAGACAGTGGTTAAATCAGCACAGTGTAACAAATTGGCCAGCATAGAATCCTACCATTTAAATCACCTTTTAATAAGGCAGATAGTTGGCATGGGTTTTTTAATTTGGATTAGTTAGAGAAAAGGGCGGCCTTTCAAGGAACAATATATTTTTGTCCCTTCAACCAATAACTCGTTGCATTTCTATAAGGGCTTGATTCTTCTCCATTTCCCCAGCATCCCCACTCTATCTTCCAAAACCCCAGTCTTTACCTTTCTTACCTCAATAACAGATTAAAATTTTGAAATGCATGTACATTCTGCAGCTCATGTAGAGTACTTCTAAAAATGCATCTTCAAAAAATATGATGTGGCTTAGGAAATTGGCACTGACAAAAACATTCCTTCTTTACATCCACAACCGGAAGTTGTTGGCTGATCTTTAAAGTCCAGAGACACGTCTGAGGGTGCCAAGAGATTCTGTAGGTATCACCTATCTCAAATTAAAGAAAATGGAAACTTTTTTTTTGCGGTCGTTAGTAACAGACCATAGAGGAAAGTCAGAAGCAACGTTCAGGCATTTAGAAAGCATGGCTCCCCTTTGTGTCACGGTCACTCTGAACTTTCACAGCTGAGTCCAGCTGATGCAACTCTAGTTGCTCCCAAAAGGGACAGGTCCTACCCCACCGAGAACCTCCTG